TCGAGAATCTAAGGAGCAAGACATCGCACGGAGAGCATACTGAACGGCCATACACACCTGTGTCTCATCCAAAACCTCCTTCGCCGCCAATCCACGATATCCTATGATAGGGACTAAAACAAGTCTTTGAATGTCTAGCCTTGTGGTCGGATCGCGCAGCGAGGCAGCCCGGAGAACTCCCAGGATTTGGAAGACGACTACAGCACGAAAGAACATGACGACTTCATCGTGGCAGATGCTCGCCCTGAGTATCTCACTCGACTCGCGTTGATTAGAGGGTGAATAACAGTATAGGGAAGGTGATAGTTTCACGCATTGGACAAGAAGGACAAGTTGACATTTGGTGAATTCAGCTGAATCCGGATCGAGTCCTGGGCTTTCCTTTTTGGTCCGAGGAATGCTTTCTGATAGTTTTGCTAGACCACAGTGCATACAACGAAAAGCAGCAGATCATCCGACACAGCGGTTTTCCATTCACCACTGCGAATACACAACGTAGCTTTTCCTGTGCCTTCGAGTGCCTCCGAGTCTGCTCAATACCGCACAATCGCCAACAGGGGCGTGTCAATGCAGAAGAGAATGGGAAACGCTCTCGCCACTGAACACGAGTCGATGCAAGAGGTCGGAACTGGTAGTACACATCGTGAGAGAGCAAAAGTCATGTTGGTAGTACTGAGATTTGTCCTTTGTCCGCTCCATCGCTGTGAAAGAAGGTGGGATTGTGTTCAAAGGGAGGTCGAAGAAACGTACGGTTGTAATGTAACAATTTTTCGATGAGATCCACATGCGTCAACACCATCCTCCGGCAGCAGTATCGCTTCAGCTGCAGCTCGTCGAGAGCATCACTGTGCATGGTCAATGACAAACAACCGTCCGCGGCACGTATCGACAAACCCTTCCGACCTGTCGCTTCCTAGCAAATCCAGATACGTGTTCCATTTGTCCCCGATGACTTTCCCGCATGAGAAGCACCGTACTGGAATGATCTTTGCTACGATAAGCACGGCCCCCCAATAAAAGGTCTGAGGACTCGACTTGCCATGACAGTCCGAAGAAAGAAAGATAAAAAGGCGACACAGCCACTCAAGAACGTTGACTCGAATCACGCACTACTGCGATATTTGATGATTTACACTCTAATACAGACGACAAGACGTACTACGAGGCTGTTAAGGTCAGCTGGCTGGTAAGTAAACCGCGACATTCTTGCCAAAACCACGCCAACATAAATACTACACCTGAACGAGCTGAGAGTATGTGAGAAAGTGCAACTGTGTTTTAGTGGTTGTTTCGGAACGTTAGAACGGAAGAGGAGAGGTCATGAGTGCAAATGAATTAGCTGGCTTGCTGATATTGGCCTTGGTAGTAAGAAGCGTAATTGCTGTTGCTCTGATCCTGTTGGCCATAGCCCTGTTGTTGACCGTAACCGCCCTGATTATAACCTGCCCAAGCAGACCCTGGCTGGTATCCGCCATAACCGCCATAACCGGGCTGGGGAGGACGATAACCGTTGTTCTGAGGCTGGTTAGTTTTTGCCACGACTCTGGTCGTCTCCAGGGTGGAATGTTCGATCCGCCGCCAGTGATATCGGTTGCACCACCCGACCAAGCTTGGGGTGCGCCATTGGTAGGGGTTCCACTGGGCCTTCGCCGAGTTCAGCCATGAGATTGGCATATTCCGAGTCAAAAGCACGACCGGTTTGAGACAAATTGGAAATGTTGGCGTCTTTGTTCTGGGTACAGTCGCGTGCCATGTGACCAGCGCTGCCACAGACCCGACAGACGATGTTGGCAGTGAAGTTTTTCTGCTCTGGGCACTCGTACTGGCGGTGACCGACACCACCGCAGTTCTTGCACACTTGATTTTCGTCATCGCGGAGAGTGCCATTCAGAGCAGCAAGCTCGCGGAGCTGGTTGCGCTTGTGGTCGTTCTGACCTTCGGGCGTCGAAGCGGCCTGCTCGCTGTCAGTTGTGATCACACGAAATGAGAAAAGCACACACGGTCTCAATGACTCTGTTGATCATCTTCACACAGGCTACCACCTTGTCCTCGGTTTCCGCGATAACCAAACAGTGAAGATCCTCTTCAGCATCGTCCGCATATTGGTCGGGTCGTGCCTTGCCTTCCTTGACACTGCCCTTACCACGAATGCTGATCTTGGCTCCGCTTTCTCTCTCCATCTTCTTCAAACTATTGCCGCGAGGTCCCACCAGCAACCCAAAGAAATTGATTTCTGGGAACTCCTTGACGGGAATGTACACTCGTTCGGAAGGTCGCTGCGAGCGCTTTTGCTGATGGTATTCGACCGGAGGTCGGAAGTTTGGATCATTCTTCATGGCGCGGTCGACAAGTTTGATACGTTCATCCTCAAGTTTCTTGCGGTACCGCACTTCTCGCGTGTTGGTTCGGCGACCGTGGGCATCATACGTGGGAGGGGGGGAGGGGGACCTTGTAATAACGAGAAGTGAGAATCACAGAGGAACCAAGTAGATGGTGAAAACACACCGCTCTCGCTCGGGTGGAACATAATCGTTCAGCCGCAGCTTTCGGTTAATTTCTTCTAAGCGAAGATGGATCGCGTAGTTGTCCAGCTGTGCTTGAGAAACGCCAGTAGCGGAGATTGCGGTAGGAAGGCCAGGAATCTCCGTGGAAGCATCACCCCAACGACTGCGACGCTTGCGGGGTGCATTGGATCCACTATATGTCGCAAAAAGTGAGAATAAAAACGTAATTAGTGTCATATCAGCGTTAGCGTGAATGAGGAGCTGGACATGTGAAAATAGACAACAGTCGCAAAGAAGAGAAGGGACGAAGCCCGTGGGGTCGAGGTCGCTGTGTCATTAGGGACAGGCTAAAGACGTACCCTTCGGATCGTTGGATGGGGTGTCATCGCGGCCTCTTTTAGGACTTTCTTGGGGACGAGGATAGGCAGATGGAGACGGCTGAGCGAGTTGCGGTGGAAGACTCTCCTCGCTGGGCGCAGGGCCAAAACGGCGGCGATTCCCAAGAGGGACTGACAAAATCAACAAAATGGATGCATGCAAGGTGATGGGGAGAACTCACCGTCATTCGTACCAGTAATTTGACGAGTCGCTGGTCTCCACATTATGATGAATGGACTTGAATGACTATAACCAAGAAAAGAAAATGTGCGACGGGGGAGGGAGGAGGAAACGTGAGCACTTGTAACGATCACAGGTGTCACGCCTCGCGAGTCAATGCTGACCGACAAGAACAGCGGTGACATGGTCTGTACCATCATCTTACCCGCTTCGTAACACTTCATGGCCATGAAACGCAATGCCGAAGGTAATTATCTTCAAAGTCCCAATGAGAGACTTGTCTGAACTCCCTAGCCGGATCCTCTCACCATCCTGCTAAGCGTGCGCGGATCCTGGAAGATCAAGAGGATATTCCAATAGACTATAATGAGGAAGATGCCATTCCACCTTCGCCTCCAGACGACCCGTCCGACGGCTTAGTCCCGCGTAGTGCGACCATCAACTTCAGTGCCCTTACGCGCAAGCTGGCGCAAACCCGACGGCCAGGTGATGATCCTGTGGACTTGTCCTCGCTCGAGATACATCGTCGGAATCAAGACAAGCTTGTTTCCCACATATTTATGCAGCAAGACTTTTCCTGGCTTCACTTGAAGCCCGACCATGCCTCTCGCCCTCTGTGGATCAGTCCTGAAGACGGACACATTATTCTGGAGGCGTTTTCACCTATCGCAGAGCAAGCTCAGGATTTCCTCACAGCGATTAGTGAACCTGTCAGCCGGTGAGAGCTTCGTTCGCTTCAAGAGATATCTCTCAATAACATGATTAGACCTGCCTTCATTCACGAGTATAAGCTCACTTCATATTCGTTGTACGCGGCTGTTTCTGTTGGACTTCAAACGGAAGACATCATCGAGGTTGGTGTTTAGTTAGCGGTCTCCCTTCCGTGTGTTATTAATAACGCCCTGGCAGGTTTTGAATCGATATTCCAAAGTTCCCCTACCCGAAAGTATCACAGCTTTCATACGCGAGCGAACACTCAGTTACGGCAAAGTCAAGCTGGTCCTGAAGCACAATAAGTACTTCGTAGAGTCAAGTCATCCAGAGACGTTGCAGCTTCTTCTGAAAGATAGGACCATACGTGAGGCGCGAGTGGTCACTACTCAAACGGACACAAGCATCAAAGCTGCGACTTTCACCACTTCCAAAGCTCCTGTAAAGGGCAGTCTCACCATTCCCGGGACTAAAGAAGCCGAACGGAAGGAGGACAATGGGATAGCGGCCGACAATAACCCAGACCTATTCACTTCCGTTGTCGGTGTCGAAGCTGGTGAGTACGGCGGTGGTCTATCCTTCATGTCATTGATTACTGGTGAAGATGAAGTCGAGGAAGATGACGAAAACGTTCATGCTTTTGAAATCGACGACACAAAGATCGACGCGAGTGGATGAGGTTATTGTGTCGTATTGCTCGCTGACAATATGCAACATCTAGGATGTGAAACGACGATGCAATGAGCTGGAATATCCCATGCTGGAGGAGTACGATTTCCGAAATGATACGGTCAACGCCAATCTTGAGATCAGTCTCAAACCCGCTACCATCATCCGACCCTATCAAGAGACCAGTCTTAGTAAGATGTTTGGGAATGGGCAAGTCGACAATCTTAGGCGGTGGCTCGGAACTTACTCCAACACAGTCGTGCTCGGTCCGGTATCATTGTCTTGCCGTGTGGTGCGGGCAAAACTCTCGTCGGAATCACTGCTGCATGTACAATCAAGAAGTCGTGCTTAGTTCTCTGTACTTCTTCGTGAGAACTCTTTTTCCTCACATGTCGGTCAACGCTGACAGTCCCGGGGCAGTGTCTCTGTTATGCAATGGCGACAACAATTTCTGCAATGGTCTAATGTCACCGAAAAGCAAATTGCTGTTTTCACCGCCGACCAGAAGGAAAGGGTAGGTGCGCACTGTTCTCAGTTCTGAATATAGGCTGATGTTTCGATAGTTTGCGGGAGATAGTGGTATCGTGGTGTCCACCTATTCCATGGTAGCCAACACGCACAATCGGTCTCACGAGTCGAAGAAGATGATGGAATTCTTGACTTCCCGGGAATGGGGCTTTATCCTTCTAGACGAAGTCCACGTCGTTCCTGCTGCGATGTTCCGCCGTGTGGTCACCACTATCAAAGCCCACTCCAAGCTTGGTCTGACCGCAACCTTGGTGCGAGAAGATGACAAAATCGCGGATCTGAATTACATGATCGGACCTAAGCTGTACGAGGCGAACTGGATGTGCGTGTGTTAAATTTTACACCGGATCTGTCCTGGACGTTCCTAATTAGGGACCTTGCCGCCAAGGGACACATCGCCAACGTACAGGTGTGAAGTCATCAAAACCTATGCTTGTTTGTGGCTTACAGTCGTGAACAGTGTGCCGAAGTCTGGTGTCCGATGACCCCCGAATTCTACCGTCAATATCTTCGAATCCAGAATCGCAAGCGCACTCTGCTGTATTGCATGAATCCCAACAAGTTTCAAGCATGCCAATTTCTCATCAAGTACCACGAGGATCGCGGCGACAAGGTCATCGTATTCTCCGATAATGTCTATGCTCTTGAAGTACGCCTCCTTGATCACTGGATCCTCTAAGTGACTCTGATTGACTCAGGCTTACGCGAAACGACTGGGCAAGCTTTACATCCATGGTGGCACAGGCCAAACGGAGCGAATGCGCATTCTCTCCTGGTTTCAGCACAGTCCGAAAGTCAATACCATCTTCCTCTCTAAAGTGAGCAGCTTTCAACGGATGCTTCCAGATCTTTCTGCTCACGGACGCTAGGTCGGAGATACATCTATAGACCTTCCTGAAGCCACTTGTTTGATCCAGATCTCCTCCCATTTTGGATCCCGCCGCCAAGAAGCTCAAAGACTGGGGCGAATCCTGCGGGCGAAACGACGAAACGACGAGGGCTTCAATGCCTTTTTCTATTCGCTCGTCTCGAAGGACACTCAAGAGATGTACTACTCCACGAAACGACAACAATTTCTGATTGACCAGGGCTATGCCTTCAAAGTCATTACGCATCTGGACGGTCTCGACAAGATGGAAGATTTGGTTTATCGTACCCGCGACGAGCAGATTGAATTGGTGCAGTCTGTGTTGCTTGCAAGCGAGAGTGAGGCCGATCTTGGAAGCGATGTCCGGCACAACGACGGTGACCTGCAGGGGACCATTACCACCAAGGACTTTGGCCGCCTTCCCCAGAGCCGGATGCCTGCTGCTCAGCGGACAACGGGCTCTCTCACTGCTCTGAGCGGCGGCGCCCATATATCTTACATGGAACAGAACAAGTCTGCCAACAAAAAGCTTCCCAAGGAACCTCCTCCTCGGCACAAGCTCTTTGCCAAACGCGACAAGGACATTGCTGCCGCCAAAAAGGCTGCCAGGCAAGGGTGATATATGTACATACCTATGTAATTTTTGTGTCGTAAAATGATGCGAACTCGGTAAAGTGCGCTTCGGTAAAAAAAAATCCGGAACCTGCCGTCGGGGGAATTGCCGAATCGGAGCTTACGTTGTGTGGACGTCGTGCGACGTCGTTCGGCCGTCGTGACGATCAGGCAAAGTGCTTACGCCGGGGCAAAGAGCGCCTTAGCGATCCTGGTTGCGGAGCGTCGATGTACCTTGCTGTCGGCATTCAGCTCGGCAAAACGTGACCTCAAACATGACCCAAATTGTGAGCTCCTGAGTGTTAAAAACGCAAAGAATTAAATGCAGTGGGTCTCGTTGCCTTGCGACGACTGAGACTGCAATGTTTTGAGAGAATTGCCGTTTCATGATGCACGTGATCTCAGATCTGGAGATCTCTCCTCCCCCATCAACGCGGATTGGCGGAGGACCCCTTTCACATATATGGCGTTTGTCGCTTAGAAGAAAACTCCCCCCAATCCGTCAGACGTTACTAACCTCCATGACCTCCAAGCGCGGGCGAAAGCGCAATGACAACTTACCGCCCAACCGTGCCCGGGATGTTCAACGCGCATTCAGAGCCCGCCGTGCTGCACATCTATTGGTATGTGAAAATCGAAAATCGACAGACCCCATTATTTGACTTTCGCATGTAGGCGTTAGAAGAACGCGTGTCAGAACTTGAGGAGGAAAACAGCTGTCTGCGACAGGCGTTGAATCTTCCCCAGGCTAGCCGTGCACCGCTAGGGAAGGGGCCGACCGGCAAAGACAAACCGAAAGCCACCTCTGCTCACGACCTTCCTCACGACTCGCCACCACCGCTGGCCGCCCATTCGTTCCATTCTCATTCTCACCACGACTCATCACCGCCATCGACTGGATCCGCTGGCTCTCAGTGCGGGTCTGCATCGCCGGAGCTTGTGTCCCGGTCTGCCATTGAAGAAATTCAAAATGGCACAGGACCCTGGGGACAGACGATAGTGATGGAAGAGATGCCTCAGTATCAGACTCTGTCTCCGCTCCCGGCGTCGGCGACCTTGGCTCCCAAAGCCGTCGTATACTCATCCTCATACACGACCTCACGAACGTCATCATCCTCGCTGGCGCCAATGTACCATATGTACCCACCCAGTGAACGCTCACATTCCACGCCTGCCTACTACGACCAGACGACGACGCCCCTTCCGGTGCCGCAGCAGGCACATCGCTCATACTCTTTTACCCCGGACAGCCATGCGCACTCTCCGTACGACCCGCCGTACCCGCCGGCTCCCCAGAGGCGGGTGACAGCGGACGATTACACACTTGAGGGACAAGTACGGCACCAGGGCTCCCACGGGGGGCCGATCCGACTGCCTTCGCCGCCGCGAGGATTGCACGAGCATTCCGTGCTGCCCCCCCATCATAGGGCGGTATACTCTGCGAGCGGACATATAATGTCCTGATATCGGCTTGTATCATTAGCTAGCCATGTAATTGTATACAACCTCTAGTTTACATACCCACCTAACTACAGTACCCTACATAAAATCGAATCTAGTAGGTAACTCGTCATTACCCCAACGCATCAAATTCTATCAAACATAACCCAAGATCCCTGTGCGATCTGGCTGATGTCGGAACGCTCTGGAAGCTGCGCGCGACTTCGATTTTTGGTAGAATGATTCGGAGACCTTTGGCGGGTCGCCGATGGTCGCCGATCGTCAGGCACCCGCTTAGACAGATTTAAACCGATCTAATTACTTGCGGAAAAGGTAGCACGTGCAAGGACGCTCAGGTCACCTGTCGCAACAAGCATGGAGGAAACAGTGAGTATATGTAACAGTAGATCCTAGTATATGCAAGTATACTGCCTGTGACGTCATTGACAGAAAACGTCAACCCCTGCTGGTGTGTTTGCCGTAACCATCAAGATCAGGCTACAACTTGCACCAGTCTATCCCCGCACTTGATCCATAGCGTTGTTCGAGCCATTCGTTTGCCTTTTTGAAATGACCATTGCCGAAGAAACCTCTATCAGCGCTGCGGGGTGACGGATGGGCACTCTTGAGGATCAAGTGCTTGCTCGAGTCCAATTTGGCGACACGTTTGGCTGCATGGGAGCCCCACGCAAGAACCACGACACCACGGCCCGTCCCAGGCTTGGTTCCGTCCCTGAAACCTATTCATTTGCAATTCTGAAGAGCGCAAGAGCACTCACGCATTGGGTAAGTTGGCTCCGCCGTACGCATCAACGATCTGCATCACCCGCTCTGTGAACTGCTCCCAGCCTCGTTCAGCATGCGAATTGGGTTCGCCAGCCCGTACGGTCAGCACCGAGTTCAGAAGAAGCACACCCTGCGACGCCCAGGAGGCGAGATGACCATGATTCGGCACTGCAAAGTCGGGATATTCGTTGCGAAGCTCGGTGTAGATCTACGCAGAGAAGTCAGCACGTACTGAAGCAGAGCAAATCAACAAGCACATTTCGCAGAGATGCAGGCACTGAAATCCCCGGTGGGACAGAAAATGAGAGGCCGTGAGCTTGTCCCGCACCAGGATAAGGGTCTTGGCCGAGAATAACCACTTTGACGCGTCCAAGAGGCACATCTGACCAGGCATATATGTTTTTCGCTATAGAATTGCGTCTCAAGATAGTTCTCAAAAGCCGAGTAGCACGCACGAGCTGGGTATATCTTGGAAGGAGCAGGGTCCATCATGCCTCGCACACCTTCCGTGTACAGGAACTTCTTGAGGTTCAGAAAGTAGGGCTGGACCAGCTCATCCGTGAGGACTTTGAGCCAGCTCTTCCCGATGACGTCGCATTCAAGGGCAATGAGCGCGCGCTGTTCATCTGAAAGACCCTCGACGAATGACGACAATGAGAAAGGAATCGAGTTCAGGGTCTGGCTCCCTAGAACGCGTCGTTTTTGATAAGAATTCCCATCTTTAGTTGCCCTGAAACGCGCGGCCGGTGTAGAGTGCTGGAGTTTCTGGCGTTTGGCATCCGCGCTGGGGGTGAAGCACATGTCAAGCAATGTCCGTTGGCGTTTCCCATGAGCATTTGTTGTGTCCGGGGAAGAGTTTGGAGCCGGTTTTTCCTTTTTGTTTGAGACAGGAATGTCCTCGAGATACACGACTTCTTTCGTGGGGATGGTAGACATGGTCGATCTATGCCTGGTGGAACGCGTCGTGTCACGATGAGTCACGTGTCACACAAAAACGTGGTGTCACAAATAATCACGCTAGTCTCTCTCAAGTTGGGCCAAGCCATCCGTCCTCCCACGGAATCGCATTAAAGCGTCTGTCAAACAGCCGGAATATCGTGCCTCGCCGTCTCCAGCTTTGATTGCCCTCATCCGCCGCCTCACCACGCTGGCCCCAAGATCCCGATCGTCACCGTCACCTTCTCCCTCCGCGAGACCCCGAGACGCGCACCGCCGTGCTCAGCGCTCAAAGCGTGGCTCCGTGTCTAAGCGCCCCGTCGATCTCACACACATCGACTGGAGTACGTCGTACGCGGCCGGCGAGTCTTCGTCGGCGTCGCATTCGGAGAGCGACGATGACGACTCGGAGACCGAAGAACTTCGTGGGCGGGTGCGTCTGCCTGAGAAAGTGGCGAGGAATAATGTCATTGTACGGAGGGTCTCGTTCACTCGATCGCGCTCGCCCCATCCTCGCCAGCTACAACCTGCGCTCTCGCCGATAGTGTCCCTGTTACATCGGCGGAAACTGGCCTCAGACCGTCAGCCAATACTGTCGCGGTCGGTAGAATTTTGTCTCCCCATTCCCTTCTCCCGGAATTCCTATTCGTTTTCGATAGATTCTCGGCGAGCTGGGGAATCGCTCATTCTTTGGGGTTCGCTGTTCTATGCGACAGTCCAGATCGCGCATGAACCCGCTGCTGGTAGCGACAATCTGTGGTCGGCCTACGAGTTGTCTGTTCTTCTTGCCGCCACTGTTGTCTACATTGTGTACACGTACGGCTCCGTGGGGGAGACGGCGACTAGACCGGCTACGGGCCAGGGTGTCAAATCTGCTGACAAGTTTGGCTTTATCTGGATGTCCGTCCCAAAAATTACAGGTGTGAGGCACATCTGACTCAATGATATGCGATCTCAGACCTTCCAGAGAATCCAATGACGACGGAATTCTCACAGCCCTTCTACTTGGACCGCTCATCGCTGCTTCGCTCCTTTGCGCTTCTTTTGGAGGAGATGGATTACCGGCCCGGTGGGCTATCGAGGCTCCGTTTCGGCTAGCAAAACTCTCGCCTCAGGATGCTCTCTTGAGAGGGCGATATACGCTTCTCTCGCTGTCGACACTGACGAGCGGCATATTGTTAGTGCATGTTTGTGCATCGAGATGGTTGGAGGACCGCAGCCGGCTAGGTGCATCTGCGACCGAGAACGGATCTGGACAATATGCCACGATGGTCGGTCCTTCTGATGGAGAAAGACGTTCAGTCCCTCGAAGCGAGGGCGTCAGGAGCGTTTACTTCATTCTATTTACCTTGTGTGTCACTGTGGGCTTTCTTGCTGTGCGTGCTGGGATGGAGTTGTTTGAACTGGGTTTCTGGCAACGTGAGTGGGCGTTTCCATTACAACCGGGAGATGGCGCCTGACTTGACTATGATCAGATCTGGATCCAGTGGAGATCACTATTTCGGCTGTATTCTATCAGCTCACGCTGTATGGAGCACTTCGAATGGCCCACCGCGGTCTGACACTGGGAGAACTAGGATTTGTCTGTTTCGGCGGTGCAGCGTTGTTCAGCGAGTTCCTCCGCTTCACGACTGCCAGGCTCTGGTCGAAAACAACACCCGGCTTCCTGACTTTCCGGTTGCCCACGCCGATCTTGGTGCTGCAGATGGCTCTCGTTGGCGGCCCATTCTTGGCGGGTGCTTTGATGGCCCCGTTTTTGGTGCTGTCCAGACACGCAGCAAAGACGCCGGTGCGACGGCGTCGTCGACTGAGTCCCGCCGAGGCACTGCAAGCTCGCCGAAGACTGGCTGCAGCATTCTACATCGGTGTTGCTTTGGTTGTAGTCGGTCCCATCGGCCTGTGGGTGTGGTGGTGTCTGGGAAAGCGCAATCCCTGGATGTGGGTTCTTCGGTGGATCGTTTCTCGCAACCGCAGACTAGCCCTGCTGGCCTATTGGGCTACGCTTGGCGGTCTCAGTGTAGCAGGTTGGACGCGCCAACTCGCTCGCTCAAGGCGTGGAGCGGTCTTGGCCATGGGAATGGGTGTGAACATGACTGGTGGGACGGCTAACAGTGACAGCGATGGTGCTACTCAGGATGGTTCTGCGCGCAGTGCGCTGATCGCCGCGTCTGGCGAGTTGTTCGATCGAGCCCCAACGCTGCGACTCAATGCTCGGCGCAAATTTTTCCATGCGCTCGTCGTCTTCATGTTTGTACCCGGTATTGCCTTCGATGCACGTCATTCTTTCGCTTCTCCCCCCGGTTCCTGACATTTCTTTTGCAGCCGGCATTCACGCACTTGGCTTTCAGTACAGCGTTCGCCCTGTTTGTGTTCGCAGAATATATCCGATACTTCGCCATTTATCCGCTGGGAGCAGCGGTGCACCGGTTCATGAGCGAATTCATCGACACCAAGGACGGAGGAACCGCAATTCTGAGTCACTTCTATTTGCTCACCGGATGTGCTGGTGCGCTCTGGCTGGAAGGGTGAGATCGGTCGGCTAGCATTGAGGGGATCATTCTGACTATGCCCAGCTCGTCTCCCCTGCTCGAGTATACAGGATTATTAGTACTGGGTGTCGGTGATGCTGTGGCCAGCATTGTCGGCAAGCGGATCGGTCGACATTTATGGTCTCCGACAACTCCTAAAACTTTGGAAGGCAGCATGGCCTTTATTATATCTGTGGTCGCCTCCGCACTTGTGTTGAGACTATGTGGTCTCGCCGAACCCTTTTCGGTTTGTCGCGTTCTATCCCTGTTTCCTTGATCTCACTTGCGTGCAGATCTACAAATACTCAGCAGCAGTCGTGCTGGCATCTATTCTCGAAGCCCTCTCAGACCAAAATGACAATCTTACGCTTCCACTATACACCTGGAGCATACTTGTACTCGGAAAAGTATCATAATATAGGGAGTACATATGTAGAGTTGCTGTAGAACAGGACTGGAGAGCGGATTGAACATTCACTAGCAGACACAGACATTTCCTATCAGTACAGATATGTGATGCACCACCGATTGAACACAGTAAGCGGCGTCCACCTAGTTACATTGTATCAAGCTGCAGCCTCCGCCCCCGGGCAGTCACGAGAGATATGTCTAAATAACATTGAGACAGAGCAAAGACAGGGTAATCATTGCTTACCCCTCACTGCCGCAAGTGTAGCAGGCTCGCTTCTGAGCTTGAGTGCAGTCGCGGCTGATGTGACCCTGCAAGCATTTGGACTTCGGTTTTTGTAGTTTGGGCAGTCAACAGATACTCACAACACCACCACAGTTGTAGCACTTGGATCCTTGGACACAATCACGGCTCAAGTGGCCGGTTCCGCCGCAAGTGTAGCAGGTCTTGCCTCCAAACGATCCATATGAGCTTGACTTTCCGCCGCGACCTCCACCAGTGCTGGATCCGCTGAAAAGGAAGGAACATAAAAAACAATGCGATCGCTTCCAAATGTGGAGTAGCGCACCCAGCCTGAGGGCACTCCCGAGCGATATGGCCCTTCTCACCGCAACGGTAACATTCAGCACCGCCGCGCTGGGCACCACCCGAAGCTGCTGCCGCAGTGGTATCGGGGCATTCACGCGACTAACATGCCGTTGAGCGGAGCTATGATCAGCATTATAAGAAGCACGCACAATGTGGCCTTCTTGACCGCACTTGTAGCATGTCTTGGGTTTGGCTTCGCTCGTGCAGTCGCGAGAGACGTGTCCTTCGAGGCCGCCTAAGAACCTTGGTGAGCTAAACATCAAGCTGATATTTACGAAACTCACAGTTGTAGCTGGAGAGACACGCGGTTGTGAGTAAACAGGTCCCGCCGATTCTCGTGAAACAATCACCAAGTGGGAGTTCCAGCCTTGGGACAGCTGGCAGCTTGGTGGCCGACTACGATCCCAAATCCGATATAACCGTTATCGAAAGACATTCAAGAGCGTTTGCGTCCAAGTTTGGAAAACATTATATTCGCCCCCGCACCGCACGACAAGTTGTGTTGAGGATATGCAAATGAAAAGGAACAGAACATCGTCAGCAGCGTCCCCAATTGGTAGCGAAGCAGATATATGTCGAAATGAGGGGAAGGACAGTGATATGGGGAATGTGGAGAAGGGAGGGAAAGAAAGCACGACGACGACAACAACAACAACAACGCACAGCCCCCGCAGTTAAAGCATCCTCGAGCAGACATTTTCTTTGATCGTTGGAGAGATGACCGGTAAGGTTGGTGTTTCTGACCGTGAGTGGACTCGTTTGTCGGAGATGAAGATGAGAAAAAAAGGCTGTGCTGTGTGTGACCTTGCTGTTACCGGATCTTGCCGATGCAGACCTGGCACACGGTCCTACGGTCACGTTCATAAACTGTTCGGATGTGATTGACGATTTATAGCAACAAGGAGGAGTAGATAAGGTACAGCTACAGAGTGGAATTACAAGGTCGCCAGTACATGACGAGGAAGGTGTAGTGTTATGGTGTGATATGAGAGATGATCTACAAAACCAAGTGAGTGAGGCCCGGATGTCATGCAATGTCATGAAACGCCGAGTTTGGAGAACATCTCGTCCAGGGTCTTAAATGCCACAGGCTTGATCATGCTAGAAAAGAATTCAATGCAAGTTTGGGGAGCATAGTAGAATACCTACTAGCCGTCGACTCCGGCCTTAAAAGCCCTGCGCTTGTCCTCGAGGGATGACATTCCAGTAAGAGCGAGTATTCGTGTCGGGTGTCGCCTTTTGGCAGACGACAATCCTGCTTCGAATCTGCGAATTTCAGTAGTGGCGCCGATGCCGTCGAGCACAGGCATCGACATGTCGAGCAACACCACGCTGCAAGGAAAAGAAAAAAGATGAGATTGCATACGACACAGAAGATCCGACACTCACTCGAAGGGGCCATCTTCTTCATAGATGCTCACCGCTTTCCTGCCATCCACCGCATCTCGATAGTCGTATCCCTAATCGATGAGCAACTAACTCGAGAACGCACACGTTCATGCACACACCCTAGTCGTTAACCATTTGATTCTGAGGACGCATCAGTCGCAGCGACCAATTGGCGCACAGAAATGAGATCAACGTACAGCAGTTGGCGAAGGATAGTATTGTCCTCGACGACCAAGATGCGAAACCTTCGATCAGCAATCACGGAGTCTAACGAAGAGCGCAACAGGAGACTGCCGGCCCCGATGTTGATAGTCGGCACCCCCGGATCTTCACCGTCAACTTCTTGGTTGTCCTCGTCGTTGCTTTCTACGGTTGTCGACAGCTTCTTCCAGGATAAGGAAGAGGCCGGATGTATTGTCATAGCGCGAGCCATCATCGCCGGCCTCACCGTCCCCATCACACTTGAATTGGCTGTCTCCTCAGAGTTACGGCGAGGAACATGGACTGTAAATGTGGGCGTGGTCGGATCGTGATCGTCACCGGATGGAGCATCGGTCGAACTGGCGATTTTGATGGTATGAACGCATAGCTTGAGCAGTGCATATAGCCTGGATGGCCCACCGGGTTTGTACAGCACCCGACAAAAGCCTCCGATACTCTCGTGCTCAGCTACCTCGGCCAAAACCCCCCGGTTGCCGTGCAAAGTCGATAGGATGATGAATGGCCGAGAAGTATCCCTTTCCGCGGTGGCTTTTCTGAGCAATTCGATGTTTTCATTGAGAATGATGATGTCTCCGCGCTGTGGCCCTGGTGGTTGGAGGTCGAATCCCCACCAAGAAGTTAGGTACGTCTCGATGACAGAACGCACAAGGAGGACGCCTTTGTGCTCCGTGTCAAAGCCCAACATCGACACCGAGAGTGGCTTCGTGTCAAAGCGGAAAGGCTCCATTTCGGGTGCCGAAGCCTCCTCTGGAATCTGGGCCGTGAACGTAACCTTGATTTCTGTCCCAACGCCCTCTTCACTCCAGACGTCGACCTTGCCATTGACGCTTTCGGACTTCACGATGCTATTGACGATTGCTAATCCGAGGCCTGTTCCAGTCTGAAGCGGATTTTCTTGGGAAAAGGGATGGAACAGTTGGTTTTTGCGGAAACCCTCGCTGATACCCTGTCCGCCAGTCAACACAACCAGGATTACGTGTCGATGGTGACGCACCTTTCCGGTGTCAAACACGACGAGCTCCACCTTGACTTCGTTCGCTGATTGAGCTGGGCTCGGTGCCAACTCACGCAACATGATATGCACATATCCGTTCGATGTGAACTTGAGACTATTTCCGAAGATGTTCATCAGAACACGACGAATGCCGCCTCTCTCGCATTTCAGCGTCCAGCCCTCAAGACAACCATTAGATAAGCAAACAGCGACGCTCAATGACTCACTCCGCGGCGCCAGCCGATATCAACCACAGTCTCGACGAGTTGTTTCGTGGCCAGAAGCTGTTCGGGAGGGGAGTAGACGCTCCCGATCTCTGAATCACTCATGATAGCTGTCCTGGCACGATGCCCTATCCAGCATCCGTCGACCGCTTCCTCGACCAGTTGCATCAGATCCACCCTTGCGCTCAGGTCAGGTTGACGAACAACTGCCCGTGATTTGACTCACTTGGAAGGCACGATCACATTCTCGACACCACCCGATTTCGAATTCCCGCTGAGTTTGGTGAAGTCCAACACGTGATTGACGGTTTCGACAAGCGATGTCCCACATGCTTGTACAGTCTGCAAGAATGATGTCTGAGAGTGATTGAGGGGGCTGTCGCTCAGCAGTTCGGCCGCAGCGAGGATCTGGGCTCGTCGTAAGGTGTTAAGTACATGTCTCAAAATGGGATGGACCGACGCCGTGCAAGGGGGTTCTCAGTTCATGTGAGATGCTGGAAAGCATTAGAAGCGAGGATCTCAAAGACAGGTGCCATACTTAGAGATGAACAAGCCTTTGGCCTTGTCAGCTAAGATCATTCTCCGCTTGAGAACAGCAGAGACGACGATGACTCCTATCGCCCTCAAAAACGAGAGCTCGTGGCCTTCGAGCTACAAAGTTGGGTCGTAGATGCACCACTCTCCACCAGTTCAAATACTTACAAACCGTCGCGCCTGATTCGAGGCATTCCAGGCACACAACAGTGCGAATGGCCGCTTGTCGATGTTGTATATAGGCACCGCTAAGACAGTAGTGAGGACCGACTACGCTCTAGAGGAGCAGGCAACACACCCAGAGCATATTGAATATGTGGCGATGGCATCAAAAAGCGCAACGACGGTGGGACGATGCCTTCAGAGATCTTGCCATTGGGATACCTGGCGAAGAACTCATTCAAGCGGATGTGCTCTTCTCCTGAGAGCGTGTGAGTGCTTGTTGGCACCCCAGGTTCGCCGTGATGCAGCACAATCGAAACTGTAGCTTCGCTGCTCATCGATTCGAGCACCTCACAGTGCGATACATCGGCCACCACAACCCCCTCGACGTCAAGTGTCTGTTGTACGAGATGAGCAGCCCGGTCATAAACTGTGTCCATGGACGTCATAGTTCCCATTACTGGCGGAGGTGACCTCGATTCGTCCGATGGGGGCTTTGTTTTGTTCGACTGGCCAGAGACTTCATTGTCGATTTCAAGGCATTCTCGACTAAATTGCTCCATCTGAGTCGTCGTCAATCGTTGAATTCCGACTGAATGGATGAAGGACTGACAGATGTTTGGATCCGATCTCGAATACGCAGTTGGATCTGCAAAGTTGGTGGGGTAAGTTGGAAACACCCAGTAGAGAGGGAGTGCGAACCTTGTCTCTCCACAACTCCATTTCTCGCATGGCGATTGCTGCGAATTCCTTCAAAGTATGGCGTTGCCTTGGGGTGAAACATTCATGTGGCGAATCATCGATGAGGGATAGGCATCCGATGTTGAAGCCGTCATGAGTACGAAGAGGCGCGCCAGCGTAGAACCGAAGGCTCGGGCCCCCAACAACCAGAGGCTATCAAGGATTTATATCGATGCGGGCAAGCAGGGCAAAACACTTGCACTGTCGGCAAATCGCCAATCCGCTTTCGTGTCCAGAACTATCATGGGCTCATCCCCACGTTGTAATATCGCATGGGCTGCAAAAGAGGCTGATCGTGCACAGGTGTGGATTTTGGTCATCCCCCCTGTAGAATGTGAGTGAAGGAATAGACGCCCGAGCAAAGGACAGAGAACATTCTGATTTGCACCACCTGTGGTTTTCAGACAGATGTGACAGACGATGCAGACAAGCGCTCACTCTTTCTCCCCATCTACGACGGAAATGACCACTCCTTTGGTATTGAACACTAACATGGCGAGATGCGCGATCCGATCAAAGTTAAGGTCAGGGGTCGTATCGATGATATTGAACCTTTTGAAGCCTCAGCTTCGCCCGCGAGAAAAGCGTGAAACAAACTTGTATAATGCTCGACGACGACCCAGTTCATCTGGAGGGAAGGGCGGTGCGAGGAATCCCCGCGCTAAAAAAGCCAATTCCTCTCGAACAGCACGTGCATCCTCTTTGGAAGAAGTGTGGGTGGGGACAGGACTTTGTTCGACAAGGCTGGCCGTCGGAATAGCAGGAGCTGACTCTGAGATAGTTCCAATGGGTGGCCGTGTCAGCGAGTCGCCAGAGAGTGTTCGCGTCAAAACAGGAATGGAGACGGATGTCGTGGGAAGCGGCGCACTTGACTGCCTGGTCAGCTGAGATCGTCTTCTTGTTCCTGGAGCAGGGACTGATTGTGCGGTGGCCTGCGTGAATGATTCCGTCAGAACAGAATACGGAACCGAGTTCACCAATGTTGGTGTCGATCCTGAGGATACGATGCTCTGGTCAACAGATTTCAGTGAGGAAGGCGCCGCGCCGCTATTCAGCTCAACCTCGAACCCAGCACTGGGCCTCTGGCGATCCGGCGAGCTCGTCGAAACTCTATCGTTTGTGGGCAACCCAAAGTAGTTGTCATCTTCGGTGAGGTCCCGTGAAACATGGAGTGGTGCTGTCGCGGGACCAGGGTGAAATGTCGGAAGATCGTCAGGGATAACTGAATGTCCATTCTGAGGGCCGGATGTAAGTTGTGTTTCGTTTTCTTGATCCTTTCGGTCAGCCAAGTCCTCCAGCGTTGGTAGCATCTCCGGAGAGTCGTAGTCCGAATTGTCAACGTCAATTGTCCCACTCCAGAAACCGCTCAATCGCGAGCGACGAGTCCCGCCGGGAGTCATGACATCCCAGCCGGGAGTCTGTGCACCATGAAACTGAGAAAAGAACCCCGGGACTGGGTGTGGTGATACAGTCTGCTGAGCGTGGGCAAATGAAACGGGAATCTCAG